CCTTTGCCCAGTGGTAAAAATGGCTACACCTGCCCACAGGTTACAGCAACTCTTACCCTGACGTTGGCTGCACACCAATTGAAGTCTGCTCCTTCTCCTGTCCCTCACTAAAGACAATCTGTATTCTCTCTTCTCCATAAGGAACAGCTAATAATTTCCCTATAGTCTCCCCTCTCCCAAGTGAATACATTTACTATTGACTTGCTACCACACCTCCAGCACTGTCCTTTGTTGGTGTGAACGGAGGCATTTTCAAAAGCACCTACATTATTAGGACTGTGAGTCCCATGCAAGAGCAATGAGACTTGTACTCCTGAATCACTGTGGTATGTTTGAAAATCCCATCCCTCTTCTCTGTCCTGAGATTCTTGGTGTAGTGGGTGAAGGACTGGGGACCCTAGTTCCTTACTAAGGAAGCCTCCCTGTGTACCGTATTTTCAGAGTATTTTGTAGAGGCATAGGATAATGGACTCTAGCAAGTAAACTTAGAGCTATGTAATAAAGGGAAATTACTTCCATACCAGATGTACTCAGTGTAATACAGTGTTTCACAAACTGTGCTTTGCAGAATCTCTAGTGTGGTTCAAAGTGCACATACTAATGGTCTGCAGAAAGGTTACTGGTCATGCTGTGCCTTTTCTCCTTGTTCCCAGGCAGTACATCTCTACATCAAAAGCACAGAAATACATTAAACACTTTTCTGGGTGACTTTCCCATGTAGGCAAGTAAATTAGTGTGACCATGAACAGAAAGAGATGGTGTCCATGAGACAATTTTTTGAGTAAGATGTAGTCTACCATAATAGTCCGAAAAGTACTAATAACATGGGAAGAGGTTTCTGTGCTTTCAAAGTGCCTTGGTTCGTCCTATGTATTCGAAAACCACAAAATGGTGTGCTCCGATATTTCAGCAACCATGAATTTACAAACACAGAAGCTCTGTTCTGCAGCCATTGTGTCTGGTAAAACAGTGCTGGTCACCTTCCTTGTGCCTCATCTGGTGGGAGGTGATTTCTATAATCCACCATTTTGCACAACTATAGTATATACATTTATTGACTTGTTACCTTCCTTCCAGTCCTGTTCTGTTGGTGAGTGAATTGAGGCATTTTAACACCTGCATTATTTATATACAATACAAAACATTATTTTATTTATTTTAAGAACATACCCATCAGACCTTCTTTTATTAAAAGAAGATTTCTTTCCTGAAAGGTTGTCAGCCATCACTTGCCTATTATCAGTCTCTGATATCGACCCAGAAGAGGTTTTTTATTTATTTCCCAAAATACACAATCACTTTTAAAAATTGTAGAAAATAGCAGAGATTCTTATCAGACCTGTCTACTTGCTGCCCCCATTTCAGAAATGTCTCATGGGTTTGCATCAATATGCTTCCTCCCTTGTGGTTAAGACACAGGACCAGGTTCCAAAAGATTCTGGTTCTATTCCTAGCCCTTCCACCAACTTCCCATGTAACCATGAGTAAGGCAATTAAGCACTCTGTGCCTCAGTTAACTCGTGTAAACGAGGATGATTTCTCAATTTCCCTTTTCATAAGGAGTTTTGAGATCCTCCACTAGAAAATGCTGAAGACGTGCAAAGCATGGCTGTAGAAATGGGGGATAGAAATTAGTTCTGTGTTGAAACCAACAGCAACCACACAGGGCTACTGGGAAGATGGTAAAGATCAGAAACCAGAGTTTATGCCAACGTGAAGGGAGTTACGGTGGTAAAGGACCACACTGGATCCCCAGCTCCAGAACAGGAATTCCCCCCAGTTGTGAAATTCTCTTTACCAGAGCTTAATAGATGGTGTTTAATTCCTCCTTCATCCCTTCATTAAACAGGGGCTAAAGCCAAGAGCTTCTGACTTCCATGGTTTTCTCTATGGAGAGGCACCTGATAAATCATCAGAAGTTAATGATCAAAAAGCTTATCAGGGTCTTTTCGTTTATAAATTTATAAGACAAAAGAGAAATAATAAAGCCATTGGATAATTAGTAACTAGCCAGGGCCCGCCCGGTGCAACTGGCGCTCCAACTGCCCCAGGATCTGTACTCAGGCTTAGGGAGAAGAGGGAGAGGAGACAGAGAAGAACAATGTAAAAGAGAGAGACACACAGAGACAGACAGACTTAGAAATAGGGTGATGAGAGACAGGAGAAGGGGAAGAATAGGAAAGGAGGACCAAAGGAAAACCGATACAGGACAGGGGAGTTGGGAACAGTAGGGGTATCAGAAGGAGGAAGAGGGACGGATAGAAAAGGCAGGGCAGTGAAAGGAGACTGGATGGATGGAACTGAATGGAAAAGAAGACTGAATTATAGGGAGCATCTTTCATCTCAGGTAAGAGCCAGTGTATTTTCTTCCTTAAGCTCCTGTAATGTGATCCGTTCCAAATCTGCCCAGACTCTCTAGAGGCCAGGCAATAGAACCATATCCTCTTAATGTTACAGTGAATACTAACTTTTAAGTACTGTGCTATATCTACATCTTCGGTCTACTGCTGGGGTTTTGTATGTACTTTTTGTTGTGGGTGAAGGGTTTTTTTTTTGGTATTAATATCCTTTCCCCATAAAAAGGAGTGGGTACAAAGCTGAGAGAGCCTCTGACTAGAATTTAATTTTCCCAGAAAAGATTGTGAGTAGCAGTTTGATTTTCCAGGACATTGTAGTCACCCTGTGCCTCCTGTTTGCTCCTAATCTTGGAGAGCAGCTTCAGGGCAGACATCTGAGATTGTGTTAGGTGGGTTTGAAGGGCAAGATCTTAAATCCTTGCTCATGCAGACTACCCATCGGAATCTCTTAGATTCATGTCGCTGAGTCGGAATTGCAGGAGCACAATTCTGGTTCTGTCTGTGGACTTACTGGGCGTTATTGGTTCAGGGAGCTCAAACTTTTAAGAACAAATAATTGCATGTTAAGGCAACTCATAAAATAGTCTTTAGCTCGCAGGCTTGTCAGTGTTCAGTGTTCATGATGGGAGATGGAGGCTAAAAAGCATTGGATAATATTAACTTGGATTGCCAGTCAGTTTGGCATGCATCTGAAATTCCCATTGCAATCAATGAGAGTCTTACATGCACAAACGCATGAAGATCAGCAGTCTTACAAATACTTGACTCTAGCTAACATCAGTAAAATAAAAATGTACATCTTGGTAAAAATGGCAAGAGAACTTAGGAATATTTTTCCTTCCTGTGGTGAAAAGTCCCACGCTCCATGATGGCGGTTAGTATGCCACCCAGATATTTGCACGCTTCCTTTTTATTTATATTTTCCTAACAACTGAAATGGTGGATTCTGAAAAAACGGGCATGCAGCTAATGAGACAGAACTTGTGCACCTCCCTTTTTGAAGTCCTTGTTTCCCAGATGAGAGGATCAATTTTAATATGTGATCGGGCTGTGTGGCTCTTTGTGTGTACATTATAAAGGAACATGAACCTTGTCAGTTCAGGAAGGTTTGGGGGCTGGCACTGATGGGGAGAATTTCTGATCAGCTGTGAACATCAAGGCATTTCATGGAAGAGGTGAAGGAAAGAGGGTGAAAAAAATAAATGAAGGACAAGAAGGGGAAAGGAAAGCCATGTCCTTACTGTAAGAGTCTCTCCACCACAGCCTTCTGGTGAGCAGCCTCCTCTGGACTCAGGTTTTCCAGCTCCTTCATTATTGGAGGGGTGAATTCCTCCCCATCATCAGAGGTTTCCTCTTCGGACATTCTGGATTCCTCCATCCCGTTGGGAAGATGAGGGATTTCAGCACAGGGCTCCCCTTTCTCGGCCTGAATGGCATTGATGGCTCGCTGGCTTTCACTCTGGAGGTTGTAGGGGTCCACTTCCCCGAGCGCTTTGATCAGGGTCTCCTTGGTTAGCCCTGACTCCAGCAGTGCTCCTAGCAGCTCCACCTGAAGATGACTCAGCTT